TATTTTTGTTTAAAAAAAACCAGATTTGCATTGATTTTTATATACGACCCGATTAAAATTTTAGCCAGAATAACATTATATAGTCATAACTTTGATCGAGCCGTTTTTTAAAAATCGACCCTCGGACTTTTTAACACGGCTAGATGTTGGCCTATTTAGTGATACTTGGCTTAAATCAGTTTTTGTAAAATATTCGCAATAAGGGTAACTTAAAAATCTAACCTTTATTCTGAATATTGGCATCTTGATCATTTTCATTCTTCCGCCGAAATAACTACATTTACTCCTATCTCATTATAATATGGGTTGCGGTTGACGATATTAGTTATTTCAGCGGACATGAATATATAGTTGTTTTTTTAAAAACGATAGTGGTTTAAACAACAGTTATTTCTCTCTTATTTTTAAAAAAATTTATCAAAAAATTAAAAAAAATCTTCAGGAACTCCAAGAAATTGGAGGGACGGGCAGTTTGAAATTGGGGGAAGGGGCAGTGCCTCCCCAAAATAGACCTAAAATCGGGCCTGGGGGTGCTTGGTGTCAAATACCTATGTATATTAAGAAGGGCCAACATCCATTCCATCTATTTTCAAATGTAAGACTTCTCACTTCTCAGGTATACTTTTTTATTCTTGTTAAAAGGAGAAACTGTGCTTTCATTGGTAGAAAGTACTGTAGAGTTGCCATAATGTATAATAATTTTTATATATTAGAAAAATAGTGTCTAAAAATCTGTTGTTAATATTATTATTACTCCTTTATAAAAAAAATGTATAGAAATAATTTCTGGTTATATGGCAAAATATGTATATTCCTCCTTTCTCCAATGATCCTTTTTTAATTCCTGGTTATAGGGACCTGGCGTATTTCAAAATTTATCATATTAAAAGAACGAGGTGCTAATGGCCTTCCCCTCCCCTAACCCAATGACAACTATTGATTTGAGTGACTGGCAGGTGTGGAAAGCAAAAAGAAAATTTTCAGCTCCTTTTTTCTCCTCGCGCCTGTGATGCGAGATTATGATTTGTTGACAATTGAAAATCAAATGTCTTCAAACAAAAAAATTTCGTCAGATTACATCAAGATCGAAATCTTCATTTTGAAATGAGGAAATGAGATTTAATTAATTTTTTTTTCTTTCTTAAAAGATATCTAAACAGAATATTTGAATTGATGAGTTTATAAAAAAATTCAAATCAATTTTTCAATTAATAATTTTTTTTTTAAAAAAAGAATTTTAATATTAAAATTTCTATTATATAAATTATTTTTTATTTAATATTTTTCTTCAATTTGTCAAAAAAATATGCATCAATCATTTTCTGCTATATTTGTTCATCTTATCGCGAGAAGAAGAAAAAGTGAGTTAGATAGAATGTAAGGGGGGGGGGGGTAGGTAGGTGCAATCAAGGGCATATCGCACTAGCTCGTATAAAACCAAAGACCGAAGGATTTTATGCGAACTTGTGTTTTTAAACATTCTTGTATAAAACTTTTATATATTTAATTATTTTATTTATGCCGAGAAAGGGAATTTTTAATTGCCTCGTATTAATAAAAATAAGGATCAAAGGATTTATGGGGTGTGTATGAGCCGATTTTTAAAAACGGCTAACTCAATATTATAGCCAGAAAAATATTGTCTAAGCCTCGAGATTTCGTTAAAGATGTTGAAACCTTTGCGCCACCTATGAGTAAAATCTTAAGGTTTGCAATTTCTTTCTTTCTTTCTTTCTTTGTTTCTTTGTTTCTTTGTTTCTTTGTTTCTTTCTTTCTTTCTTTCTTTCTTTCTTTCTTTCTTTTCTTTCTTTCTTTCTTTCTTTCTTTCTTTCTTTCTTTCTTTCTTTCTTTCTTTCTTTCTTTCTTTCTTTCTTTCTTTCTTTCTTTCTTTCTTTCTTTCTATTTATTTATTTTCTTAATAAAATATTGAGTTAGCCATTTTTAAAAATCGGCTCAAAATGAGCCGTTTAACAATATTACTGATATGATACTTTTATTTTTGATTATTTAAAAAATGTATTTGGGTTTGTGAAAAGAAAACTTGAGCCATTTGAGCAATAATTTTGGAATTATTTTTTTTTAAAAATCAGTAATTAGAAATATTTTTATATTTGAAATCACCATTAAATTTGATCTTTACTTTATATACGAGAGGCAGTTAAAAACAGGGCTTAACAAAAAATCATCCAATGTTTGAGCAATAAACTTTGAAGATCAAAAAAATTCAAAATCTTACTTCGAAAATCTTCTTTTAAGCGTGATCGAAAATTTGATCTTCAAAAGTGCAGGGATCTTTGAAGATTTGTTGAATTTTAAGCAAATGTTAAACCTTGGTTAAAAATTCCCAAATAATTTTTTAAAAAAATAAAAGTTTTATACGAGAATGTTTAAAAAACACGAGCTCGCATAAATCCTTTGATCTTTGTTTTTTTTATGCGAGGTGGTTTAAAATTCGCTCCTCGTATAAATAAAAATTTTTTTTTATACCAGCATAGGTAATTAGATATTTGAATTTTTAACATTTAAACTAGAATTTCTTTTTTTTTAAACTCAATTATGTGTTCCCGATAATCCCTTCGCGGCAGGCGCGTAACCAATGGGAAGAGGGGAGATCCCTCCTCATCGCAAATTTGCCTATTCTCGTAAATATCATTTTAAGCGAATGAAATTTTTTTACCATACACCCCCCCCCCCCTTACCACCACCATCTCCCCAAAAAATGTATATGATATATAATTATAATAATAGTACGCACATCCAAAAAAATATTACGCAAGCCTGAAGATTTTGGTCATAGATACCATAAAGGTTTGGACATCTTTACGCGAAATCTGGAGGTAGCCATTTTTATAAATCGGCTAAAATCTAGCCGTTTTACAACACTAATAAGGACCTAATGATTCTCCAATAAAATTTATTGGGAAAAAATATTCACCTAATAAGTGCCCCCACTCCCCTCCCATTTTATCAAAAATCCATCCTTGTTACGCCTTATGCTTCGCGATGATAATTGTTTTCCTGGCGATGCGGAAATGTTTTGCGTGCCAATATATATTCACGAAAATTTCTTACTAAACACTTGCAACTTTCGGATAAATTAACCGAACCCTTTGAGTTTGGGACATCTGAACCCTGCCAGTTAGTGTTGTTAAAAGGCTCGTTTTGAGCCTATTTTAAAAAACGGCTAATTCAATACTTTAGCCAGAAAAATATCGCCTAAACCTTAAAAATTTCATTAATATATGGCAAGACCTTTGTGCCTTCTATAAACAAAATCTTCGGGCTTGCTTAGTATTTTTTCTGGATAAAATATTGAGTTAGCCGCAACACTAATGCCAGTTATTTGGCTAATAAAAAAATAATTTTTTTTTCATCGAATTTTAAAGAATAAACTAACCCTGGTTTAAATCAATCATTTCGTAACAAATTTATTAACATTTTTCTTTTTTTATCTCCTAAATAAATTATAAGGGCGTGTGAGTTTGAAATACAATTATGGATTTTGTGAATCTATTTTATTTTATTTTATTATAATCGAAACTTATATAAGTTAAGAGAAAAAGGAAGGTGTTTTTACTCTTATACTTTTTAATCATCGATGTTATTTAATATTAAATAACATAAATTTTAAATCAATAAATTTTAAATACAATTGCAAACTGAAAAATATAAAAAAAAATGCAAAAAAAAGAAAAGAATAGAAAAGAATGTGAGATACATGGAAAAGTGATTTATTAATATGATCTATAAAATTTACTTAAAGAGAAAGAAAAAAAAATAATAGATTATGATAAAGATGAATAATTTAAAATTTTTTTTTAAAATAATTAGTAGATGTGAGATGAGAAGTGAAGAAATTATTTTTTCGAAGTAGCACAAAATTTTCTAAATATATAACAGAATTTCGTATCTATTTATTTATTATTTTTCCTTAAATTTTATTTTCTCAAAAAAAAAGTAAGAAAGAAAATATATCACACGTTAAAATAAAAAAATAATTTGCTAAACAAATAGATATCCGTTAAGATTTGATTTATTTTCCTAAATTTTAAAGAAATAATTTGAAAAGTGTATATTATAGTGTTAGTTTTAAATAGTGTTGTAACACGGCTAACTCAGTATTTCATTCAGAAAAATATTACGCAGTCTGAAGATTCTGTTCTTAGAAGGAACAAAGGTCTAGGCATATACTATCGAAATCTCGAGGTTTATGGAAATATTTTTCTGGCTAAAATATTGAGTTAGCCGTTTTTTAAAAATCGGCTCAAAACTAAACCATATCATTTTGACACTTAAATTTATGTAAAAACTCCAGAAAACTAAGCCTTCATTTTTATTTATTCGGGATTCTATTCAGAACCCCACCCTTCTTCAAATGATCTCTTTTAAAGCGCTCTAGATTCCCTCAGCAAGTGCTGCGCTTCACCCTCTCCTTGATAGCTAAAATATTAAATGATTCAATTATAAAATGGATATTAACTCTGACTATGTAAATTTCATAGGGAATCCCTTCCTCCCCCACTGAGTTAATCACCATGACAATTAATTATTCCATGATGTAGTTCCATTATAATCCCCTCTCCCCCGTGTTAGAACTCCCTGCCTGCTGTTCCAGTATAAAATCTCGGGTGAAGTGAAAATACCCTTACCATGACGCTATTGGGAAAAATAAAATTGCAAATAGTAAGATCGCATACTTCATAAGATTCTAATGACTTTATTGTCACCTCTCCCCCTTCCCAACCCTCCAAAATAAAATTTTTTTTGTATTTTACGAACAAAATTTTAGAGCAATGCAGAAAAATTCTAGCAAGTTACAGGAGAACCAATAAAAAATAGGGAAACGATTTGGTTCTGTTAAAAATAAGTCTATATTTAGATAATTATTAATGGACATAAATGACATCTATTATTGACAAGTGATATTTGTTAGAAATGAGTCGAATGAAACTTTGAAAAAAAAACACAACTAAATCTATCAAAATGAAAAAATTATTTACGTGTATCCAGTGGATAGGGTCTTCTGAAGGCAGCATACAGCGATAATGCAGCAATTTCCGAAAATCCCCAGTACGATTAAAATGCTTATAATGGGGGTATATATCAAATATTTGAGATTGTCTATTTTATTTATCATCATCGGGGAGTTTGAATCATAACCGGAAATAGAATCGATGGCGTAGGAAGTGCTGGCTAAAAACGCGGGCGTTAATGCCGGCGATTGGGTAACGTATTCGAGACCTTTCTGCTGACTGGGAGAATAGTCGTTACTCGAATGCGATATTAATAAGTCAAACATCATCATCGTTAATTTTTAGACTCTCCAGAAAAAAAATGATGCTTTATTTTTTACTTCCTAGAGGAATAAAGTTCTTGCATGGCCCCTTCCCTGTTAAAAAAAAATATTAATTTATTAATATATAATTTTTTTATTTTTAGATATAATTTAAAATAATAATAGGAAATAAAAATAAAAATAATATTTTCGAATTTGATCAATTTGATCAATTTGCTTATATTTGAAATTTGATATTATTTTTATTTTATTTTATTTTTTTTGGTAAAAAAAGAAATTTTTTCATCAAATCAATTTATTAAAATATAATAAAAATGATTCATCATTCCCAATCACTTATTTGAAGTTTATGGGAAAAAAATGGAGAAATATTTTATTAATAATTTTACTTTTATATATTTTTAACAATATTTTTTTTAAAAAAAAAATCACTTGATTAAAGAAAAAGATTTCATTTATCTATTAAACCCTGTGAAAATAAAGATTGAAATTCCTTCCTATATTATTTCATTAAATATTTTCTATCTTTCCATGGGTTGGTTCTTAATTAAAAATAAATATTAAAGAAATGCAATAAATATAAAAGATAATCAATTTTTATTATTTCTTTTATCCCCCCCCCTCTACTTATCGATAAATGTGTGCAATTTTATTTATTTATTTATCGGTTCGGTTTTAAATCGATAAATTAAAATACATGTAATTTTTTAATTTTGTATTTCCTTATTTATTTTTTTTAAAAATAATATTCAAAAAATTCTTGTAAAATTTTAATATACCTTCCGAATGGGTCGAGCATAATATATTTTAAGAAAATTCGGGGTCGGGTCGGGGCCTTAGAAATATTTTTAAATATATCTAAATTTATCAATTTTATGGCGAATAGTTTATGTAAAATAAAAATATTTGATTTTATTTGTAGAATATAGCGCTTATTTTGAGTAATTATTCGGACTTGGGCTTCGGACCGGGTCGGCAAAACTCTTTAAAAGAAATTTCGGGCCGGGTAGGGCTTGGAAAATTAGGCTCGATGTAAATCACTACCTCATAAATCTTTTGATTTTCATTGGTCTCCTGAATATAATATTAATAAAGAATTCAATAATTCTTGGTTAAACTTTTTCCAAAATATTTTTAAAATTTCAATTATTAATTTATTTTTTTTGAAATTCAAAAAGGTAAATATTGCTTTTTTTGGTATTTTTAATTCTGTTTTTATATTATGCTCAGGAAAAAAAATATATAAAATTTTTAATTTAAAAATATTTTCTCTTTAAATAATTGCAAAAAAATTTTAATATAAAATATATTTATAAAAAAATTAGCACTTATTTGCTAATACGTATTTACTACAGTTTCGTGTCGATTTAATATATTATATTTCCATATTTTATGTAATTTATTTGAAAATAAGGCAAAAAAATTGTTAAAATAAACATATTTAATATAATATAATTCTTATCAATTTTTACAAGTTAAATTCATTTTATTTTACAAACGAATTAAAAAAATATGGAAATGTTTTAAAATTAAATATCTAAGTTTATCTAAAAAAAATAGCAGATAGTTTATGGTGTAATAATCCCTGCCAGAGATCCGACTTGAGCATCAAAAAAATTTGCGGTTACAGTATTTTTTTTTGCATCTACCATATCACATAATTATTTAATAAATTTGGAGGAAGATAATATTTTATTAGTGTAGCAAACATGGAAGATATTTTGAAAAAAATCTTCGGTCTGCCAATAGGTTAAATTAAATGACGTGTGGAGGATAAAGACCCTTCTATTCCTATACTCTACAAAGACTACTTATCTTATACAAACATCATAATATCTCGATAAAAAATAAAGATGGAACTGTAGAACTCATCTTCTTAGATCTTTTTTTTAAAAAAATTTATTTAGTTTTTCTAAGTATGAACCCCAATAAAATGGTATGAAACTGATTTTTTTTGCTCTCTCTCTTTAAACTCTTAACACAAAATTAATATTTAAAAGAAATTGTTTGAATTAGTGATCTGCATCGGGCCTAATTTTTCAAATCCGGCCCGGCCCGAAATTTTTTTTAAAAAGTTTTGCCGGCCCGGCCCGGCCCGAACCCGAAATTTATTTTTAACGGGCCGGGCCTAACTTTGCAGATCTCTAGTTTGAATATTATATTCATAATTTATAATAAATGTATTTCTAATTTGTCTGAAATAAGTCATAAATACAAAATATAGTTGTTTATTTTTTGATATTTTTAATACAAATACAAAGTAATTTTTATTTTGTATCTTAAATACATATTCGCGTAACTGCTTTAACCCTGAACCCAATGGGGCTACTTTATAAGGCGGAAGCTTGCTACGATTATTTTCAAGGCGTATTACATGAGTTTCGAGGTGTAAGCCTGTCACACTATGTCTACATAAAGTTCTACCACACCTTTTTCCTTTTAAGTCCTTTTAAAAATTGTAAAGAATATTTGGTATGGCTTCTTGGTAAAAACAACACAAATTTTGTATCCATGAAATGAAGCAGGTATATATATATATACAATCTTATTTATATTAATTGTAATGTATACACACATATAATGTTTGTCATTTTAATTTTTTTTAAAAATCAATATAATAATTATAATGATCATTTTAAATATCGAATTTGGAATATACATTTAAATTTTTTGAAGAAAGCACGAAATTTAGTCGTGCAAGAATAAAAAAAATTGATAAGTAAATAAATTATATTCCGATTAAAATTTTAAATAGTAAATTGCTTGCATAACCTTCTCGTATTTTTAACTTTGTCTCTTGACAAGATATAGCTTTTAGGCCTCACTCATCCTTATCCCCCATTTTATCAGTCTATTTTATATGATGATTTTTGGTTTTGTATTAGTATCCTTAAACTTCCTGGTATATATTTTTTGATTCTTGTACCCTCCCATCTATCATCCCTTCAGCATTCTCATCTCCATTATCTGTAAGCTTATTCTTTACCTATCCATGGTGTGAAACCATATAAAATAGATATTTGTAGTATGTAGTATGAAAGTGTATATCATCTTGTTATATTTGTGTAAAATTTTCGTCAAAGTGCCTTCCGGACAAATTTATCTATCTTACTTGATTCATTCTATTTTCTTAAATTTCTTTTTCCTTTGTGTCATTTCTTGGCAGAATGGAACCAAAATTTTTGCAGATTTTAATTGCCGTAAATTTCCAATCATTTATGTCAATGCCATCTGTTCTATCTCCGCCTATTACTATATATTCTGTTTTTCCTTGTTGACTCAGCCCATGATTTTTGAGTATTCATTCTTTCACAATTGTTTTAACACATTACTATATCATCTGCAAATATCATATTCCATGGAGTTGAAGTGGAGTCAGTCTGAGATTTAACCTCTATTACTGTTATGAGTACAAGGAAACTGAGAACCTTTCCTTGATAAACCCTTGGCTATTAGAAAGTTTGATGATGTACCAGTTATGCCTTTAGATCACTGTACTATAGTTTTTATACATATACTGCACACGATTCTAATATATTTTTTTCTGCGTAAAGCCCCAACAGATTTAGAGATCAGCAATGGTTGTATTTTGACCCCCCCCCATCTACCCATTGTGTTTTTAAAGAACTCATGATTTTTAACAAATCGCTCGTCAGCCTACTCGTGGTGGTTTAATGAAATGGAAGGTCTTAGCGTTCGTAGACCAAATGTACTAGTATCAGACTGCCCAAGCCTATCGGCAACAGAGATGAACTTTCTAAGCTCGGTATATTATTTTGATTACATATTTGCTCAACAATCAACTAAGAATTCGAAAATTAAATAGTCTAGGCAGGGGGGGTTAAAGCCTGGTCACTTCGTTTAACATCTGTCGCATAGCAAAAACATTGATAATTTTTGATTGGTTTTCTCAAAAATTCCTATATAAAATCGTAGGACAAAACTTCCCACAATAAAGTGTATCATAGCCAGTCCATATTCCACCTCAAGAACCTAGTAGAGCTCTTGTAGATAAGTAGGACTACTTCAGCATTTCAAGAAATAGAAAAAGAAGAAAATTGCCCACTCAATTTATTCTTCCTATAAATCAGATAAGAAGGCTTAATTTTATTATTGGTGCAAATTACGGATAGTATATTATTTGATTCGTTGAAAGTAGTGTCTGTTAAAGGGCTCGTTTTGAGCTGATTTTTAAAAAACGGTTATCCCAGAAAAATATATGATTTTTTTTCATAGATGGCACAAAGGGTTTGGAACAACTGTCAGCTATGAAATATTGAATTTTAGCCGTTTTTTAAATTCGGCTTCACTAGTTCGAAAGAATATAAGCACTATGAAGGAGTAAATTAAGTTACTAAAAAAATTTTTTTATTAAGTATTGAATAAATTTGATTTATCTTTTGTTCGAGATTGTCAATATTAATTTGAATTTTGAAGGGTTTATTTAGACAAATAAGCATAAATTAAATGATTTTAAAACATATAATATATATATGTATACTATTTTAAAATGAGGGCAATTAAAATGATCAATATTATAAGTAATTCTAATTAAATATAGTTCCCATTTTTGGGAGAGGGGGGGGCACAAATAGCTATTATACAAATATTATCTTTTTATCTTTTAAAGCCGTCAATTCAAATTAACAATTTTTTGAAGGAAAAAAAAAATGGAATATTTATATCAAAAAAATTCGAATAAAAAAATTAATAATAAATGAAAAATTGTTATAAATATAAATATATTATATAAAGATATAAAAATAAAATGAAAAATGACAGAATTTGAGCTTAGTGTTTCATTTTGAGCTGATTTTGCAAAACGGCTAACTCAAAATTTTAGGCAGAAAAGTATTGCCTATGCCTTCGAGATTTCGATGATATATGTCTAGACCTTTATTCCTTCTATGAGCAAAATCTTCAGGCTTGCTTAATATTTTTCTAGATGAAATATTGAGTTAGCCGTTTTTAAAAATCGGCTCAAAATGAGTCGTTTAACAACACTATTTGAGATGACTACTGGAATGAAGGAGTAGGTTCTTCGGAGCAATGTAGACAAGGGTGCTAGCCATTCTCGAGTTTGAAA